CCTACACAAGAGAATGACAGAATGAGGGTAGTTCAAGTGGAAGGAATTACAGGTAGTCCAAGCAGGCAGACAGAACAGGTAGCTCAAACAGAGCTACAAAAGCAAGCTGAAATAGGCAGGGATAACAAAAATGGTAAAGCTACACAAAACCCAGTGATGCAGGGTGATGGGACAAATAGGAAACAACAGGGTACAAGGTGGAATCAACCGCAAAAACATGCAAATGTTCCTATAGTTATTAAGGATGTGGTGACTGTTACTAATACATTCCAAGCATTGGAGAAAGTTCGAGAGGAGAAGGAAAAAGAAAGTCAGGGAAATGTGGGTAGCCAAACACCTCTCCCTGTGAGAGATGGTTAATATCCTTAGTTGGAATGTTAGGGGCCTAAATGCCCTACAAAACAAAAGGAGGTCAAACTTCTCTGCAATGAGCTGAATGTGGGATTAATTGGTCTATTGGAGACTAGAATTAAGCATAATAAAGTAGAAGAAGTAGTTAATAAAATGTTTGGTGGATGGCAGTTTCATTCAAATCATGCCTCACACTACAATGGTAGGATTTTGATACTATGGAGAGCAGACTACTATAAACTTAGTGTCCTCAGTGAGAATGCTCAGGCTGTCACATGTGCAGTAATATTTGTGCCAATGCAAATGGAATTTCTAGCAATATTTGTGTATGCCTACAACTTAAGGGAAGAAAGAAGAGAGTTATGGGAATATCTCTGTCATATATCTGGAATGGGGCATAAGCCATGGATAACTATGGGAGACTTCAACATTGTGCTACATATAGAGGATAGACAAGAAGGCAATCCGGTCACACTTAATGAAGTAATTGATTTTCAGTCATGTTTGGATGTAACAGGTTTAACTGAATTGCCAAATAATGGATGCTTATACACCTGGAATTATAAGCATGAGAATGAAAGAATTTTCTCTAGAATTGATTGGGTGTTTGTAAATAGTGAATGGATGGACAATGTGGTAGATTGTAGAGCAAAATTTCTGCCTGAAGGAGTGGGTGATCATAGTCCTATTCAGATCACAATAGCACTGACTAACAACCAAGCAAGGAAAACATTCAGATACTGTAACATGTGGAGTACTCATCCAAAGTTTAAGAAAATTGTGGAAAATGTTTGGTCTCAGAGTATTGAGGGGTATAAAATGTTCCAAGTAGTTAAGAAGTTAAAGCTGCTTAAACAACAATTGAAGACCATACATATGAGCCATTTTAGTAACATTGTGGAAGAGGCAACAAAGGATAGAGTCAATCTACTGAGAAGTCAGGAGGAACTTCAAAAGTTCCCACTGAACACTGCTCTACAGCTAGAAGAGAAGGCTATGGGGGCAAAATTCAGAAGGTCGAGCCATTTAGCAGAGATGTTCCTTCAGCAGAGAAGTAAAGCAACTTGGATTAGGGCAAGGGATGACAACACCAGATACTTCTTCTCAGTAATTAAGCACAGAAAGCTAATGCAGGCAGTCACACAATTACAAGACCATAATGATCAAATGCAGTATGAACCAGATACAATAGCAGACATTTTTGTTGATTACTATAAGAAGTTATTGGGTGAACAAGGAGAATGTAGAGGAGGTATAGTCCGCTGGTTCTTGGAGAATAGGTACAGGTTAACTGCCACTCAACAAATGCAACTGTTGGGATCCTATACAGATAAAGAAGTAAAAGAAGCTATGTGGGGCATCAATGTGAATACAAATCCAGGACCAGATGGTTTTGGAAGTGGTTTTTTCAAGGAAGCCTGGGATATTGTGGGCTCAGATGTGACTGAGGCAGTATTGGAGTTTCTTAGAAATGGGAAACTCCTCAAGCAAATAAATGCTACTATAATTACATTGATCCCAAAGGTTGCCAATCCTTTAAATGCTGGCCAGTTCAGGCCCATCTCATGCTATAATGTAGTATATAAGTGCATTTCAAAGATGTTATGTAAAAGATTGAAGCAAGTACTGCCACACCTAGTGACTGAATCACAAGTTGTATTTGTGCAAGATAGATCTTTGGTCCATAATGCCCTCATATTCCATGACCTTTTGAGGCACTACCAAAGGAAGACTACTCATAGGTGCTTAATGAAGATAGACCTAAGGAAGGCCTATGACATGGTTAGATGGGATTTCTTAGCAGAGATGATGCTAGGATTTGGTTTTCCGAGCAGCTTCACACAGCTAGTTATGACATGTGTAACAACTACTACTTTTTCAGTTAAAGTGAATGGTATAGGGCATGGGTATTTTGAAGGGAAGAGGGGCCTGCGTCAAGAGGACCCAATCTCTCTATTGTTATTTGTCATGGTCATGGAGTACCTCTCAAGAATTCTAAATAGGATGAGCCAGCTACCGGACTTCAGATGTCACCCAATGTGTAAAAGACAGAAGCTTTCACATTTGATTTTTGCTGATGATCTAATGATCTTTTGTAAAGCAAATGATAGCTCAGTGAAGAGGGTCATGGAAGAATTGCACCACTTTTCAGAGGCATCTAGGCTAGTGGCCAACATTGACAAATCACACATATTCATAGCAGGAGTTGACAAGGAGACAAAAGCAAGAATAGTTCAAATGACTGGCTTCACCCTGGGAAATTTCCCTATCAGATACCCGGGCCTTCCCCAGTGTCACCAATTGATTGTCAAGATCACAGAGAAAATTAGGGCAACGTCTGCAAGACATCTATCCTATGCTGGGAAGCTACAGGTAATAAACTCTGTGCTATTCTCAGTTCATAATTGTTGGGGTGCAATATTTGTGTTACCTTAAAGTGTGTTGAACGAGGTAGATAGAAAGTGCATGGAGTTTTTATGGGGAAGCTCAGAAGAGAAGAAGAAATTGTCTTTAGTTGCATGGGAGAAAATTTGCAAACCTAAGAAGCAGGGTAGTTTAAATGCAAAAGGATGTAAGAACTGGATTAAAGCTTCTGTAGGTAAAATGATTTGGTTGATCATGAAAAAAGCTGATAATCTATGGGTAAAATGGGTACATGGTCTCTATATGAACAATATAGTGGATTTATGGAATCACATACCTTAGGCTGATAGTAGTTGGTATTGGAAGAGGCAACACAAACTGAAGTTGTGCATGGTGAACTGGTATAGGGATGGAAGATATAGCCTGAATGCAAATGGTAAATATTCAATCATGCAATGATACCTAAAACTGATTGGGGACACACCAAAAATGGAAATTGCAGAGTTAGTATGGAACAAAATCAGTCTACCAAAACATAGGTTCATCATGTGGTTGGTTGTTCAAGGTAGGCTATTGACAAAAGAAAGGATGTTGACAATGGGACTACAATGTGAAAATACTACATGTGTACTGTGTGATGGAGTTGGAATGGAGAATGCTATACATCTTTTTTCTAATTGTGTATGGTTTACGCAGCTATGAGAGATATTGAACCAATGGAGTGGTACCAGACTTCAGTAGCAGGATGCTCTACAATCCTTAAGCAAAATACAGGGTAGGAGATGGAGTGTGATGAAGAAGAGCATTATCGCAGCAGTGTATGAAGCAGGCTTATACCAGATTTGGCAGGCAAGAAACTGGAAGATGTTTAGGGACTCTACTGTACAGAGCAATATCATAGTGCAACAGATTCAAAGTGAAATTAGAGAAAGAGTGGACATGATAAAGAATTCAAAACGAGCTAGGAAGGCTAAATACATAATACATAGGCTATGTAGCTAGTGATAAATACTGGATGTCGTAGATGAATTAATTTGTTTGAATTTTTTCTTTTACTGAGGCTTTTCCTGGAATCACCAGGTAAAGTACTCTCTCTTTGTAAATCTGAATTTGTTTGACGGACCGGTAATACAATTTCACATTTATTACCCAAAAAAAAAATTAATATATATTTTACATGATATTATTTTTAGGAGAAATTATACAGTAGTTTTCCCTTCAAATTTTGCAGATCTTAACAAGTTTAACAAATATAAATTTTAATTTGCAAACATAAAAATGATAATGTTCTATTTATATGATTTTAAAGGAGAAGCAAAGAAACTTATGGAAAGGAAATTATTTAAAACCTTTAATTATATACATATCCAACTGCTTAGCACATTAATGGACTTCACATGCTCTTTTCATTGGGAACTAATAGTATTTTATATATAATAATAGAGCTAAAATATTAGCAAAAACTGTCGTTCCATTGTCAGATTTGCTTAATAAATTCGAGTTGTAGATCATAATTAATAGGGAAAACTACACCATATAATTTCTCCTAAAAATAATATCATGTAAATATATATTAAAATATTAATGTATAATAATACATAATTTTATATATAATCAATGTATATTTTTTTATATATTTAACTAGCGAATATAATTATTTTTAGCCGACCGTCCAACTATATAAGAGCGGGTCAGGTTCGTTGGATATTTTAAAACATACAGGTGAGTTTTATTTAATACAAATAATACACGTGGCGGGTTAAGAAAATGCCACATGGCGAAGTTAAAGTCAAAAAATTGGTCAGGTTAGTTCTGTTAGATATAAGGGTAAGTTTGAGCCCCAAAACAAACGTTAGGGGTATTTGAGGACCAAAAGGTTAATAGAGGGTATATTTGAACCATTTTCAATACATTAGGGGTATTGTTAACCCTTTTGTTAGATATAGGGGTAAATTTGAGCCCAAAAACAAACGTTGGGAGTATTTGCGGACCAAAAGGTTAACTGAGGATATTTTTGAGTCATTTTCAATACGTTAGAGGTATTGTTGACTCTTTTCCGCAAGTTTTATGGTGTGCCTCACACAACTGACATTAGTTGTGTAAGACCTCTTTTTATCTCACAAATGTGGACCCATATCTTATACTTTTGGATCCACAAAACTTTGACATAAAAAAGAGACCTCACACAACTAATGTTAGTTATGTGAGGCACAAAATAAATTTTTTCCCTTGGCCCGTATAAGAGTAACTAATTTGTACAAAAAGACGACAAACTACAAAGTATATTCTTTGCAACATTTAATCACCCAATTGGCATATCATTTTCAATTTATTCGTGAAATAAATACCATTACAGCATTCAATACAACAAAAAAGGAAAAGAAAAGAAACAGGAAAAGGTTGCACCTCCACCTCCTATGATAGGGAGTTCACATCTTCCCAAAGAAACTCAAATCAGAAAATGACAAGACAAAAGACAAGCCAACCCCAGCTATTAGAACTGAAACATAGTTGATTCATTCAACAAGGCAAAACAAAAAATAAAATGGAGTTTTTCTCTAAGTTTCAAGCTACTAGTGTTTTCCTATTCGGCTTGAAAACATACTCAATGAGGGATTCCTTAATTGACTTCATTTCAGGGAATTCCTTGCTCAGTTTTGAAGCATCAAGCTCATTGTTACTCCTAGGAGCAACAATGACCTTTGCTTGCTCCTCAAGAGTGAAATTCTTCCAGCTAAAGCTCGGGTCGATATAGTCACGGTACATTTCAAGAATCTCATTATGGCTAACAACTCCGGGATTTGTGAAGTTCCATATGCCAGTCAAGTTTCTCTTTGCCATCTCGAGGGATATCGGGAGAAGTTCATCTAAGATTGTCATTGAGTTTGGGATGTCGACTACCTTCTCATATCGAGTGATCTTGGTGATGAAGTTTCGGGGGTTGGTCAAGTCAGCAGAGATGGGCATCCTGACTCGTAAAGTACAGACGTTGTCATAGTTCTTCAGCAATTCCTCCACCTGAAATGATGATCAGCCGAAATAAGAATAAGGTTGAAGGTTTTAATCACACTCCAAATAGGTACAATAGCTGGTGAATCATCAAGACTGGACATCTTTTTCCAGGATGGACAAGACACACATTAACGACCAAAAACATAATATTTCCAACAAGCTAAGTAGCACAAACATGGACACAGCCCTAGGTCAAAAAGTTCCAAGAATTACCAAAGGAAGGTTGTAGACCAGGATATGAAACAACCCGAATGGAGCTCAAAGACAGAGAATGAATCAATGACATAAGAAAGCATTAAACAAGAGAACAAAAACAAATACTGTAACATCATATAAGAACAATGTCTAGTAAAAGGTTGCGTTTGGAATTCAACTCTGCCAAATTAATCATCTTTCCTCTCCAAATCCAGAGCAACATGCACAAGCATAACTACATATCTAGAACATAATTCAATGTTTTTTATCTAATCAGTAATAGCAAGAATAACTGCAAGAAACTGCTTTAACACATTATCGCACACCTAAATTTAGCAAGTAGGTTCATCACAACAAAAACATGCATTCCATATAGGATCTGGCCCCAGCATTTATAATACTAAACAAAAGCTCTAATCTTTTTATTATGTATTGGCACTCTACACTCAAAGAATCAAGACCTACTTCTACTTCTCTTAGATTAGAGAAAACACTACCTATATGCAGTAGATCATTAATTCAACAATCAAATAATTACGTCTCAGCTCCAAATAAGTTGAGTCAGCTACATGAATCCACAATATATCCATTCTGCTCTCTTCATATCCATTTCATTCCAATGCCAAATAATTTGCTCGCCAACACGGTAACTAGCTTAGCTCCAAGAAGTTGGTATCACCCATATGGATCCACATTAGATCATTAATTATTACATTACACAAATTTAAACAATCAGGTCATTAACTCATACAGTACTTAATAAGCATTCATTAGTAACCAACAATAAATGGTAAGTAACATGCTATTAAGAGGCTAAATCAGTGCATATAACTTAAATCCATTAGATCCATACAAGAAAATGCAATAGCTAATAGATCTCAAAAAGCACAATAAGATCAAAACAAGAAATGTAACACCAGTGACCTCACCATAGCTTTAGTCTTTGAATAAAAAGATCCAGTGAAATTAGGAGTATCCTCTTCCTTGAACCCGATACCCGACCCTAACGGGCGACCCGCATCGTATTCAAATATACATCCAGTAGCATAGTTGATAAGGATCAAGCCCTTCTCTCTACAAACATCAGCAAGCGTTAAGGTACCGACCACATTAGTTCTGATGGTCTCCACCTTATGGGATTCACACCAGTCAACGTTAGGCCGGCCAGTGACTCCAGCTGCGTTGAATACATGGGTCGGTTTGACGGTGGATATGTCGGATTCCAAAGAGCTCCGGTTTTCTAACCGACCCGACCCGTATACGTAGTCTATACCTTGAGCTTCACAGAGCTTGCCGAGTATGCCACCAATCCAGCCGGTTCGGCCATAGATCAAGAACTTGGATGGCTTTTCGCTGTTAGCTGGGAAACCCATAATATATGGAGAAAAAGAGAGAAGAGTGAAGTGAATCTTGAAAGAGAAATAAGAGAGAGGAGCGATTCAAAGGAAGGAAGAACGGTGTTAAAATGGAGTATTTATATGCAGATAAACATATGTTAGGAGTACAGATTACATACAAGAAACAGGTGGATGGACGGAATAGAGACAAAACTACTACTTGGTACGTGGTTAAAGTTGTGGAGAGCAAGTTTACTACTATTAATACCCGTATATTATAGGTAAAAATTTATGACCAAATAAATAGATATATGATATATATTTGTATTTATAGACTTTTCTCATTTAATGTAGTTTAATTTATGCTTCTTTTACTTAATAAATCACTTAACCATGAAGCTAATATAGTTTGAGATAAAATTTGAGCTTGAGACTAGAGATGCATATACATCTACCGTTCATATAATAGAACCGGAAATGAATCCACATCTATCAAGTGTTTTTATCAAATCAATAAATATTAAAGGCAAAATAGCCTCGTCGACACTTGTACTTATACCACTTTGACATCTCGGTTCCTTTATTTTGTGAAGTTTCATCTAAACACTTATACTTATCCAAATAGAGTATTTTAAATACCTGACCATTGATATGACTGAGTTGGACAAAGCGCGTGATTTATACACACATATGATACGTGAATTCACTGAATTGGTGATTTTACTTCAATAAAAATAAAAAAAAGACAAAACCAAAAAATAAACAAAAGAAAAAAGGAAAAATATAATCCCCTCCCTTATCCTCCTTCTCTAGTTTTTCATCAGATCTATCCCCATCCCCTTCCCCCTTATCTTAATGTTTCTTTATTCCTTTCTTCCATAAGATTTTTATCTTTGTGCATACAACTTTGCATTCAATCTTTTCAAATCAATATGTACTCCAATAAAATTGCCAATACACTTAACCCTTCAAGAATATCAAAACAGTTTGTAATATATAAAAAGGGAAGTTCAATTTTTAACATGTTCAGAAAGAGAAATACTAGCAAAGGCATTTGATCAACAATTAAATTTATAATATTCTTCTAAATTAAATTTATGGGATAGGTTGGAGGAAGATTTGGCTTGTACAATTTCTTTAGCCTCAACAGCGTTTCTAGAACGATATACGCCAGCATTATTGTACCGAGAAGAAGTCCATAACCTTCCCCTTCCCCTTTTTTCCATCAATTCGTCTCCAACCATCTTCTTCCCATTTCCCCTTTCTATGGTTCCACCATTTTTTCCGGCGGTTAAAGCTTCTAAATCAAAACTTTTCTTCTACCAATATTCTCCAAAATAAAAATGTATTAAAATAAATAAATAAATAAATAAAATTTGTTTGAGTTTCAATACTTCTTAATACTAAGTTTGTTGGGTATCTTTTTTGGCGAGTGAAGCATTTTAAAATTTTGGGCTTGATGGTTATCTTATATGGCTACTATTTTCTTGTCGCCGGCGGAAGGAGTGGTGTCGTGATGGTCACTAGTGGTTCTAAAAATGGATAAGACTGGTGAAAGTTGTCGGTGAGCGGTGGAGTGATTGTGAATTTGTGTGTGAGTATCAATTAAAATTTTGTAAGTTCTGTCTGTTTGGATTTGGAGAAAATGTGCAGATGAGCCATTGTTTCCGGTGGGTTGACTGAAATATGGTTTAAAGGACCCAAAAATGGGGGAGAGCACGTGAAACCAAGGGTTTTAATTTTAGTTTTTCAAATGGAATTTTTAATTGACAAAGATAAAAAATGACATGGCAAGTGATGTGGATCTGATGTGTCATTCCTGCCAAGCAAGTGAGAAACATGTATCATAGTCATTACAAGGAGGTGTTTAAAATACTCTCTTTGGACACGCACAAGTTCTTAGATGAAACTTCGTAAAGTAGAGGGATCGAGATATCAAAGTGGTATAAGTACAAGTGTATACGAGACTATTCTGCCAATATTAAATATGCATCTTGTTTCAACATATTTATCACTTAATTGATATTTATTAGGACTATCATTTTAATTTTAATTCTACGATTAAATTTACCTGATTTGGTATAAATAATTTAATTAGTGTGTATGTAAATATATGTAAGTAATAGACAAGAGGGTTTGGGTGGAGTAAAATAATTGTATGTAAATATGGGAATAGACGTAAGAAATAAACAAAGACCAAGATTGGATCTATGAATATGGGGAGGCCGTCACTGAGATGCTTGCTTGGACACGACGTAGGAGAGGGGTGTGTGAGTGGGTAGGGAGTGGGAGTCATACGTTTTCATTTGAAAAATGGATGCGTGGGCGAGATATGAGCACTAGTTTTTAGGAAATTTTATATGTAAGAAAATATTTGAGTATTCAATTTTGATTCGTAGAATTCTATGAGTATCTTACTCTTACTAATAAATCAAGCGAAGGAGTTAACAAAATTTGCATAATTATTGTTTTAAAAAAAAAAAGAAAAGAAAATGAAGACGGATATTAATGATAAAAAAAATAATCTGGTGTACAAGGTATCATGAGTTCACGCCGAAATCTACCATAATGCAAATATTAGTGATTATTTTTATGGTTCGGACCCGTGAAAAAAACTTTACTTTTGCTCTAAGGCTCCCTTCACATATCAACTGTACTTTTATAAATTAAAAGAAAACAACTAAAATGTTGTTAGCTAGTTTTATCAAAGATTGTGAGCCCCAATTAGGTAATCAATTGTAGTAGGCTGGTAAAGATCAATGAGAGAAGAAATAATATAAATAAAACATGAAGTCCAAATTCGCAAGAATGAAAGTCAAAACTTCAGAAATTTAGGGTATGTTTGGTACGAAAAAAAATATTTTAATTTTCGCATGTTTGGTTGGCTTAAATGTCTTGAAAAATATTTTTCTTACGAACTAATTTTCCTCCAATTGGAAAAAAATATTTTTCTTATCAAGAGAAGGGAAAACATTTTTCAAAACTCTTTCTTACCTTCCCCACCCTCACCCACC